GATTTTAGCTTGCGGGCAACCTGAGTTCAAAAGGTGTAACAGAAAACTGGTTTGGGGCATTTTTGGTACTTTCCAATGGTTCTTTCTGCTTCTGTCCACAGAATATTCACCATTAGGGGTAGCGTGACCCAAAAACCAAGTCCAAAGGAGGCCATGAGGATGATCAGGGGACTGGAGCACCTCCTGTATGAAGATTAGCTGAGAAAGTTGGGGCTGTTCAGCCTGGAGAAGAGGAGGCTGCGTGGAGACCTCAGAGCAGCCTTCCAGTATCTGAAGGGGGGCTATAGGGATGCTGGGGATGGACTCTTCATTAGGGACTGTAGTGATAGAACAAGGGGTAATGGGTTAAAACTTAAACAGGGGAAGTTTAGATTGGATATAAGGAGGAAATTCTTTCCTGTAAGGGTGGTGAGGCACTGGAATGGGTTGCCCAGGGAGGTTGTGAATGCTCCATCCCTGGCAGTGCTCAAGGCCAGGTTGGACAGAGCCTTGGGTGCCATGGTTTAGTGTGAGGTGTCCCTGCCCATGGCAGGGGGTTGGAACTGGATAATCTTAAGGTCCTTTCCAACCCTAACTATTCTATGAAAAGCACAGGCTAAATGGAAGCATAACACTGATTACTGAAAAAATACAAAATGCACCTGACTGAGCAGCTTTAGCCCAGCTGTTACATGGGATAACGCCCTTCAAGACTGCCAGGCTCCTGTGGTGTCCAGAGAGCAGTCCCCTACGTGCCATAGTGCCAAGGAACAGCAACCCAAGCCTGGTGTATTACAGAGTTGTAGAATGGGTTGGGAAGGGACCTTAAAGCTCATCCAGCTCCAACCCCTGCCACAGGCAGGGACACCTTCCACTGGAGCACCTTGCTCCAAGCCCCTGTGTCCAACCTGGCCTTGAACACTGCCAGGGATGGGGCAGCCACAGCTTCTCTGGGCACCCTGTGCCAGCGCCTCAGCACCCTCACAGGGAAGAATCCCTTTTGAAATCCTGGAATGGAGGGAATGAATGAAGAGCAGGACTGTGGCTCGTTCCTGTCCGTTTGTTACAGATTGGCTCATTACACAGAAGATATCTATTTTTATGTTGTGTTTCATAAGACAGTGAATGCTTTTTGGGCTATCAGCCACAAAGCCTCGTGACAAACTCCTGGGATTTAGTTTCCAAGACCTAAGTAACTTCATTCCAATGCTTTCATTCTGTTGCTATTACAAAATAACATCACTTCACTTGTGCACTAGAGCCCAGACACACGTTAGAGGTATACCACTATCCTGTTCATCATATGTGTGTAAAAAACCCCAACACCTCAACCCAGCCCCCCAAAAAGGGAGTTTGCATCCCTCACTTGTATTTCCCATCTATTCCTTGCTCAATGCACTAGTAAACTTACCATAACAACACATCCCTTTCAAAAGGGTTAAACTAACTCAAGTTAAAAAGCCTCTGTGTTTTTGAATCCTGTTTAATCCCTTCTTGGGTTTGATTACATCACTCAAAGCAACTCAGTCCAGGATTATCAGTATTGGTCACAAACCAAGGCAATCCATAGGTCGTGATTTACTTTGTTTTACACCAAACCTCTCCAAAGGTGGGCAAAAGGAGAACCCTCTCTTTCAACACATGATCACACAAATAAAACCCACAAGTCATAAAGCTTATCCTGTTTTTCTGTGCAACACCAAACATTCAGCTTCCTCCCTGGGAAGTATTATGAAAGCACCTTGTGGAAGCCAACAGTGCAGAAAGCAGAGCTTGCCCTGAAGACTGCTGTGACTTTCTGCTTTGGGATAGCAAGATTTGTTGCTGGGCACCAACTGGTTCCAGGCTTATTTCAGGAAAATTAAATATGGCAGAGATGGCTTCTTCCAACCCAAACCACTCCATGGTTCTGTGATTTCATTTCAGAGATTAGAGATCAGCAGAACTCCTCCATCCATTCAGACTCTCTCAAAATCATCTGACTCCATTCTGGTTTAGCTTTTGAAAGAAAATTGCTCCCATATCCCACAACAAGGAGGACCCACTCAATCCCATCAGCCACATGTAGCATCACATGTGTAGCATTCAAGGCAGGTAGTGAGGCTACAGATGAGAACACTGGTGAGGGTGCTGAGGCACTGGCACAGGGTGCCCAGAGAAGCTGTGGCTGCCCCATCCCTGAGAGTGCTCAAGGCCAGGTTGGACACAGGGGCTTGGAGCAAGCTGCTCTAGTGGAAGGTGTCCCTGCCCGTGGCAGGGGTTGGAGCTGGATGAGCTTTAAGGTCCCTTCCAACCCAGACCAGGCTGGGATTCTATGACATGCACAAACACAACATCTGCTTTTTGCTCTGCAGAACAGATTACACCCATCTCTCTCCCTCACAGCACAGCTAAGAGGGATGGGTCAGAGGTTTTCCAGCTCTATCTGCAGTTTCCATAAAGGATAAGTTACACTCACTAACAATATTTCAGCACTTCTCCCAAATCATGAAGTGTCTGTGACACAGTCCATACTGTGCCCATCATAATCACAGAGGAGACTGAGGAAATGCCTCAAGGGTCCATCCAGCAGAACACTGAGCAGTGGCACAGCATTTGCAGAAGTTTAGAACCCTGACGCCCAGGCACTTGCCATAAATGTGACAAAGTGAAACATCACCCAATTTGCATGCTATTATTTCCCATGGCTGATTTGCCTTAATACACATGAATACCATAAAAACATGAGATAGTCCAAGTAGTATTTACAAAAGGGACTGATTATAACAGCAAAGAGCTGTTTGGACAGGAATATATTTGCTTTTCAAGAGGATGCAAGAACTACACTTTATCCCACAGATCTCTCCAATTCTCACTTCTGGGTGCATCTTACTTTCTATTAAGGTCTGGCAAAGTCAGTTTTCATGCAACAAATAGATCAAGCACCCAAGTTCAGGTTCAAAGAAGGCTCTGGGTGACAAGACTGCTGGTCTCAAGGCACAAGGATGTTTGACAGTGTACATTTTGGTTACTGAGGCTGGGTTTTGATTCTGCATTAAGCAATTCTCCTAACATCACTTAATTACATCATTCTTTACCCCATCCGGGAGATTCTTATGCACACACAGACACACTATTAAACACACTACATCATTATCAAAACCAAACAGAGGCACAAGTCAACCTAAATGCCTGAGCCCAGCAGCTCAGTTATAAACTTATTTCTCTTCTCTTCCATGCTGAACTGTAGTGAAAGGGGGAAAGAGATCACCGTGTGTTTTAGTGGTTTCTATTTGGATTTGTAAACAACAGGCATCAGGGACTATGCTAATGCACACACAGAATGTGAAATTCAGAGCAGTGTATCCATAAACTTCAAACAATTTTGGATGATGCTCTGGAAAGAGACAACATCTTGGGGTGTTTTCTAATTTACAACCTCCTGTGACCATTTCTTCCCATTTTTAGGGAATGGCCGTGGCATTTAACCTTCATTTAGAAAAATCTCTGTGGATTACAGAACTTGCATAGTGGTGCAGAACAGACCTTCGAGCACTTCTGCTCCTCACCAACTACACACAGGTTAAAATGTATGGGTCCAGTACAGTTCCATGGAGGAACATTACACAGAAAACTTGGCCCAACTGTATTACAACAAGCACATACACTACTAATAGGGAAGACGCCATTCTCTGATCAGAATAATCAGAGCTTTAGAACAAATAATTAACCAACGTGTTATAATTAACCAATTAAATCTATTAAATTGGTTATCATTAACCAATATGTTATAGATATTATTCTATGGATGAATTTTTCATAGAATCCCAGCCTGGTTTGTGTTGGAAGGGACCTTAAAGCTCATCCAGTTCCAACCCCTGCCATGGGCAGGGACACTATCCACTACAGCAGCTTGCTCCAAGCCCCTGTGTCCAACCTGGCCTTGAACACTGCCAGGGATGGGGCAGCCACAACTATTAATTCACTGTTCCACAGCAGAACATGTCTATTGTGTATGTTTTCATTCATGATTGAGAGCATCCTCCTGCTCACAGTGGCATCTTCTGACGTTTCTGAACAGAGCTTCAGTGCAGTAACTGTATTTCCCGTGGTGTCTCCTGCCTTGAATGCATTTGTCACCAGCTGCCATTCTGTATCTGTGGGGTGGAGAACACTATTCTCCAAGGAGTGCCTGTTTGATATTCTCAGCTGTGCTGTGACCTTTTCCATTAATAGGAGTCACAGTAAGGGCATGCCTTTATTGCCAAGCCACAACAGCAGACTGGTTAATCACACACGAGACAGGCATCATCTGAAGCTCTGACATGAATATCCAAGCACATGTCTTGTCTTGACTGTATTTGAGGTGGGAGGACTCAGTTTGGGGGTTTTCTAAGCCAAAGTGCCCTAGGCCATCTATCAAACACTATAGCACTCATCAATGCATATCTGAAGGAAACAACTTGGAAATTAAGATAACTCAACATTTCTTCAGCAAGAGCAAAACTAAGCTGAACTTCTTCCTTCAGTACTGACAACTACAATGCAAACAGTAGCATGGGGTGGGAAAGGCACTGGCAGCATCTGGAGGGGAATGAGTACAACAGTCCTCTTGAATATGACCTCCACTAGCAAAATTTCATCGGAACAATAACAAAACCCACAACACAGACACAAAACAAGGCCAAACCAAACCAAGCAACAAAAAAAACTCCCAAAACTTGAAACTTAAGAAAGGAAAATATTTGGGAAAAAACACCTAAAGAAATATTAATTTAATTAATTTCCTATATAGGAAAGATCAGTATAGTAATAACCAGCATAGTCCAAGCTCCCTCTTCTGGCCTTTTGCAGTAAATATACTGGAACACACAGGTATTGATAGCCTACAATTTGGTTTCAAAACATAGCAACAAAGTGTTCATATAACATAGACAAAACAACTGTTACTCAGCCTCTTCCACACTGGTTATGTTTTCTCTAGCCAAGGATACACAGACATGGAAGTGTATTGTAATGTATGAAATAACACTGCACAATACCTCTTTTTATCCCTCGTGAAGCCTTTGGTTTCTTCAGCAGGCAGCTCTACACCATCACCAGGGGCTGCAGGCAAAGGTACATCCCCAGACACAAGGGTATCAGCTTCTCTGCAGTTACCAGGCGTGGAAGCACTGCAAAAGGGTTATTAAAAACAAGCTGATGAGTATCAGAACTGCCCATGAAGCTTTAATGGAGTCTCCTTAAAAGATGAACTTTGACTGGATCTAAACTGAGCTCTAAGGAGTGCATCAATGCAGCTTGCCCAGAGAAGCTGTGGCTGCCCCATCCCTGGCAGTGTTCAAGGCCAGGTTGGACCCAGGGGCTTGGAGCAAGCTGCTCTAGTGGAAGGGGTCCCTGCCCATGCCAAGGGTTGGAGCCGGATGAGCTTTAAGGTCCCTTTCAACCCAAACCAGTCTGGGGTTCTATGGTTCATCCCCTCCAAATTCCATCATTGTCCTCCCACCTCCCACAGATTACTTCTTCCTACAAGCCCAATTTCACTGTAGTGCTCAGATGACCACATAGCCAGTAATACTGCAAAATTCTGATAGCTCTTATGGAGCACAACATTAACTGCCAGAGGAATTGAACTGCAGATGAAATTAGTAAAATAAATAAGTCACTAATAACTACTTTGCACTTCATAGAATGGTTTGGCTTTACAAGGACCTTAAGATCATCTAGTTCCAACCCCCAGCCATTCTCACTTGCTGTACAACACATTCGACTAAGTGACTTGCCTTTTAGGAAACAACCTCTATAAAGTCTATGTAGGACCAGAAAGTTCTCTTAGTTTAAAAGCTCTCCCTGTGTTAAAAGCACAATAATCCCTGAGCCCATGACATGAATGTTAACATTACCATACTGTGATATGGCTGCGTTTGTTAATTCCTACAAGTCCCTCCGCTCAGCACAGCCCCACAGGCCCCAACCTCAGAAGCAGAACAGTCCTGTCATGATTTCCAGAGCATGCAAATACAGACTGGAAAGACCAATTTGCTTCCCAGGCCCTGTGGGGCACTATAAGCAGCCATTCCTGCTCTTGTTCTCAGCAGAAGGGTTCTGGCACATAGACACCAACCGGGATACGGGAGGAAACAGGCATCCAGGGCATGCAGGGGAGGGTTGTCTTGCCATTCCCTCTCCTCAAGGCAGACCAGAACATAATGCACTCTTAGAGCTCCATTAACTTGGTTTCCTTAAGCAAAACCCAAGGTAGAAAAAAAAGCAGCACAAAGAAAACACTTCTGAGCCTACTCATGCTCTTTAAGAGTAGGTTTAAAGAGCCTGCTCTTCACTCAGGTACCATTCATGGATACATCACCCATGTATCCAAAACATCACCCAGTGAGAAACTCACTTGCATCATCCATCCTTTTAAGCACACTGGTAACCACACTGCTCCCCTGCCCTTGGCCACACTCATTAAACTAATGACAGAAAAGGAACTAAATAACCCATGACTTCATGTCTCAAAAGCAGGAGCGGTGCAGGGTCTTGTCACGCCACACTGTCCTTTCCTGAGCACCTCCGACATACCAGAGGGACACTGATGTTGGAACAGCACCCACAACAACCTCTCCTTGTGCCAGCTCCTGCTTCCAGAGATCCAGACACAAAGGTTTAAGGAAGCATTCATGGAATCAGGCCTTGGCTGAGAAGTTTGGTTTATGTTTCCTGAACCAAATATAAGCAGTTATCTTTGCCATTCCTGTCAAAATTTCCTCTCCGCTTCCCCCAGTAACTACACTGTAATTGCAGAAGGGAGATTAAACTGTGGGACTAAGAGTTAGCAAGGTTCAGGGACAGATTGTGCCCTTAGAAACATGTATACAGAGGACAAACATAAATAGCATCCCTGACTTTAGGTACAATACATAGCAGCACAAGGACAGTTATTCTCCAAAGAGCGGCTCCATTAACTTAATACGATCACGAAAGCTCATTCTGAGAGTGGTTTACCTTGATTAGCTCATATCCATGAAGTTGCTTTGTGCCATAAGGGATAACCACTCACTTACTTCTCATCAGAAATTCTCTCTCCTTTATGCATGCCTTCCTGTTTCTTTCCTTCCTTCTTTCCTTCCCTTTCCTTCCCAGTTTGTCCAAACTGGTCTGACAGTGACATAAACTTCCTATATTTTTAGTCACATGGAGTTAAAGAAATAAATATATGAATAAACAAAAAGCTGTTTCTGTTTTCATGCAGAGGACTTTGCCCTTTGCTACAAATGTCCTTATTCTAATACAGCAATGGCATCAAACACATACAAAGGCCATGTGCCACTATAGGGGCCCAGGGAGGCTGGGAAAAGTAACATTTTAAAGCAAAAAGTAAACTGCTGACAATAAGCAAACGCTGAACATCAGGTTGGAGAGTATAGCGAGAACTGCAAAACCCAAACAACTCACAAGAGGGCCCAGCCAAGCAAGGATACCGAAGGCACATAGGATGATGGACCTTATATTATGCACACATAAACCCTTCCCTGTTAACTGCTTTCAGTAGCACCAGCTTCCCTCTCACCCACAGGCCCCACTGCCCATCTACAGCCCTTCAGTGTCCCCCCTTAGGTCCTTCCACTTAAAATGAGACTATTTTCAGGGATATGCTTTCATTAATGTCATTCCTAACATTCTGCAGAGCAAAACTAGCTATCAAAATACAGGCGTTTTTGGAAGAGCTCTGCTCCCTGGCCTGCACAAAGCATAGGGCTTATTTTTAAGAGGTATGTGGTAGAATCCACAAATTATTTCTCTTCACCTTTCCAAGCTTCATCAAACCAGTCAAATAGTTGATTCCCATACAAACAGCTCCTGCCAAGTGCTGGCTGCCTTACTTGTGCAAGTAGACTTTGTTAAAGGTTGGATGGAGCTTGGAGCAACCTGCTCTAGTGGAAGATGTCCCTACCCGTGGCAGGGGCTGAGCTTTATCCTTCACCTCTTGCTGATCATCTTGTATAGGGATAACCTGGGTATTCCTGCCTGCTTGTGCTGCTGACACCAAGGGGCACACTGAGAGCATCACAGCCCCCAAGCTGTCAGCTACAGGACTGGGAAAGGTCCATTTGCAGAGAAAGCAGCACAGCTTTTAGTGCATCTGACATCACCTATCATAAATTCCCTTAGGACAGCTTAATGTCCCCTCTACAAAACAGGAGCTGGGAGAGAGGCCAGTGCCAGCTGGGGTCTAGAACATGCTTTCATCCCCTTTTCATTCACAACAGAGCTGCGGCAGCTCTACCTAGCCTGGACTAAACATGGTGCTGCAGCAGCTCCACAACCTCAGCTGGAGACTAAACCCAAGAGGAGAATCTTTCCTTCGCTGTGGAAATGATCAGATGGGTTTCCCTGCCTCTTACCTCAAAACAACTCATGCAGCAGCAAGTGCTTTCTAAGCTGCCACCTTTTCCTGGCCATTTGGAGGCCTTTTCTGCCCGCAAGACAGGCTGCAAGGCGCAGGGAACAGACAGACACTGCTCAGAAACGTTTAGCACCTCTACCATAGAGCCCAGCTAAGCTGTGGTCTCATACAGCCACTTCTGTGCCTGCTCTGCCTTTCCAATCCAAACATTTCTCCTACAGAAGTCCTATAGCAGGGCTCTGCACCTGCAGCATGGAAAGAAAGATGTGTCTAGCCAAAATCTGCTGGCGCAACCTGTACAGGCAAATCAGAGTGAACTTGGCCTTTCAGTTTCACTGCTAAACAAAAAAGCTTGGCAGAGCAGGCAGTGAACTTCTTACCTCATCCTTTTCAGGGCACTCCCCTATAGATGCACTACATAAAATCTCCTTACTGAGCAGATGATACCGTGTTGTCATTGATCAATCTGTTATCAGCAGGGGAAGAGAAAGGCAGACAGTCATCCTCAAGGAGCAAAACAAAGATACAGTTTCTTGACTGGACAGATGGAGGGACAACCTGATCTCCTATTATGCACTGCCATCTGGAAGACATTTAGCACAAGCCGACCCCTACCTTATATGCACCATTATTTTTCCCTGTCAAAGCACACACCATCTGCACTATGTGACACTCCTGGTGGGGAAATCCATGGAAACAAAAGGAACTTATCTGTAAATAACTAAATATATTAGGAGGAAAACAAGAATTCGAGTTTACTGCAGACAGACTGCATTGTGCCATCAAGTAGCCCTAGTAAACAAGTACAGCGCAGAGGTACAATCAGTAAGCATTGACACACAAACATTGCATGAGATCCTTTTCTGGAGTCACATTGAAAAGCTGTGGTGCAGCATTTCTGCATAAAACACCAAAAAAGCAGAAGCTCTACCCTACCTGCTCTGGGGCAGCAGCACAAGAGGGATGTGGAGCTGTTGGAGCGAGCACAGAGGAGGCCATGGAGATGCTGCGAGGGGTGGAGCAGCTCTGCCCTGGAGCCAGGCTGAGAGAGCTGGGCTGGGGCAGCCTGGAGAAGAGAAGGCTCCTGAAGGGGAGACCTTAGAGCAGCTCCAGTGCCTAAAGGGGCTGCAGGAAACCTGGAGAGGGGCTTGGGACAAGGGCCTGTAGGGACAGGCCAAGGGGAATGGCTTGAACCTGCCCGAGGGGAGACTGAGCTGAGCTCTTAGGCAGAAGCTCTTCCCTGTGAGGGTGCTGAGGCGCTGGCACAGGGTGCCCAGAGAAGCTGTGGCTGCCCCATCCCTGGCAGTGTTCAAGGCCAGGTTGGACACAGGGGCTTGGAGCAAGCTGCTCCAGTGGAAGGGGTCCCTGCCCGTGGCAGGGGTTGGAGCTGGATGAGCTTTAAGGTCCCTTCCAACACATTCCATGATTCTATGATAAAAACCACGGGGCAGTCAGCAGTGTTTGTTACTACTGGAGGAGAGTTGCACCATGCCTGTTCCAGACAGGAGCTAAATCAGGGTCCAGCTGCATTGACATTAACCCGTTTTCTGCCAACCAATTGCATTTGCAGGTGGGCATAAATGGGAGCTACCACATTTCTGCTGCTGGGGCACCAGGGAACACCTCTAGGGAGAAAAGCATCTGGCAAGCAACAGCAGCCTGGACAGGAAAGACAAGTGCATGGAGAACAGCTCTGCTCTTATGTCTAAAGCTGAGCAAGGGTGCAAAACAAAGGGGGAAGGAAAACAAACAATCCTGACCAGAGTTAACTTGTGCAGCTTTGTATAATAAACACAAAAACTAAACCCAACAAACACAGTACTGCTTCCAGCCAGATTCACTCCAGTGGATTTCTCTCTCTTTCAGGAGCTGAAAAACTCCCTCCTTCCATGCTGAATATCCCTAGTTTGCAACTTTTTAGCACTGAACCCTTGGGAAAATCCCTGCACCTTCCTTAAGGTCAGGATACCGGAATGAGAGCCAAATCCCGTGGTTGCAGCACAGTCCATGTGCCCTCATCTCTACTGGGCTCAGTCATCCTGTGTGGGTAACTGCAGCTCAGCACCAGCATTCCCAGCCTATGCAACTGGGATGGAGCAAGGAACACCCAGATGAACTTTTGGACACTAAAAAAAGCATTTTAAAAGACAGAAGTTATGAAGTAGATCAAAAGAAAGGATATATTATAATTAACTTGAAATCCCAATGTGAACAGTGTGAATTCATGAGGTTTACAAGCAGTAAATTAGAACACTCTAAGACTGCTCATCCTAAGTGTTTCCTAAGGTGACATTTAATCCTAGACAGCTTGAGTGCCTTTTTCCCTGCAAACAGCAAACTCTTACCCCAAGGGCAACCGAATCTTCTATTTCAGCCTGTAATCCAGAGACCATATATAAATCTCCATGGCAGTTCTGTATTCCCCTGCATTCATAAAGCAGCTCAGAGCTCCACCTCGGTTCCTGCTCACTCCTTTCTAACAGCCTCGCTATTACGGGCAGCAATCCATTAGCAGGAAAACACAGAATCCACAAACCCCCATCGTAACCCAGTTACATTTGGTAAAACCAATGAAACACAACTCTGAGCAAGAACTTACAAGAACTGGACGAAATCCACGTTGTTGGCTTCCCACTGGAAGCGTCTCTAGATCATCTTACCCTGACTGTAGGAAAAAGTGTGTTTCTCACACAGTCTCTCCACCAGCATTAGGGAATAACCAGCTTGGGGACCAGTGGAAGACCAGTACCGGCCAACCAGCGAAGTCACCCAGCTTTTAAGGTGGATTGAGCAAACCACACCAGCTCCTTTCCACCTTTGATAGCCTGGTATTGCTACTTCAGCTAACTGATTTAATGCTAGCTTAAATATACTGTGTATGTTTACACTCCCCTGAATTCACAATGACTGAAAGTCAAACACACCCTACAAGGCTTCCTCTGCTGTTGGCAGTTAAGACAAATCCATGTGTTCAAAGAACCTGATGACCCAACTGCCACCAGCACAAATAACGCAATAGTGTCCCTTCTCAGCACCAGTAAAAGCAGGCAATAAACTCAGTGTCCAACAGGGAGATACCTGAAAGCTTTATAACCAAGAGAACTTCTCAGACTTAAAGAAAATGCCCAAAGGATCAATTACCTTGAAATAATAACTTAAAAAACAGACTATAAGCACCTAAAAAAATACAAGGTCTATGTTACACCTTCACATGGCATGACTACATGGCAGATTCAATCTCAGCGGGAGGCAAATAGCACTTTCCTCTGAAGGGTCTGATAGAGGGAGATTTAAATGATAGTCAAGATTTCCACTGACAGATGCTCCACTGCCTACAGTCAGAGTGAGCCAGCCCATCAGCAACTGGCCATACCAGACATACATCCAGCCAAGAAGAGGGATAGCAATGTCTCTGCTCATGCTGACCTCTGTGGTCCTCAACCCACCCACAGCATGGAGTGGTGTGCAGCTGCCCCCCGTGGCTCTATAACCGTACCTTACTGCAGTCAGCTCAGCAGCATCCAGGGGCTCAACATTTCCAAACGCTGTAGTAACAGGTAAGGGTTGCTCAGAAGGATCAAGGGGAGAGGCCAACTGTATAGCATCACCTGGCCCAGGAGGGCTGTGGAGAGAAAAGACATGGAAAAACAGCCTTAGAGCTCAGAGTTATTGCAGAACTACTGTCACTTGCCTGTCTGAAGGCCTCTAGCACAAATATGATTACATTTGTGTTAGGAAATGCAGCAAAAGTTGGGGTTCTTTATGTAAGCTGCTCTTATGTAAGCTCTACTCTTCCCACTGGACCAAAGCCACAGCGTTACAGCTGCAGCAGTGACAAGATAGTACAACCCATCAGCAAATTAACTCCATTTTGATTCTGATTTTAAAAAGCAAATGAAAAAACAAGCTACTGCTTGAACAAGAGAAATTGCAAGACTTGTTGCTCAGAACCACATAACAACACATAGGGAGCAGAATCAGGCTTTCCCCTACCATGGAGCTGTGTGGGACTCCTCAGTGGGAGCACAGAGTCAAAGGTGCCCTGGGTGAGAGGATGCAGTCAGTGCAAGCACTATATGGCTAAAGGAAGACAACTTGGAAACACCCTTGAATCAATTAGGAAAGGAGCTTGGCTGAAGAAGTGGGCTTTCTTTGTTTTTAACAGACGCCAAACCATGGGAACCCCCTGAAAACAACATTTTTGTTGCCTCCTTCAAATTGACTCACAGAATCCCAGCCTGGTTTGCATTGGAAGGGACCTTAAAGCTCATCCAGCTCCAACCCCTGTCACAGGCAGGGACCCCTTCCACTAGAGCAGCTTGCTCCAAGCCCCTGTGTCCAACCTGGCCTTGAACACTGCCAGGGATGGGGCAGCCACAGCTTCTCTGGGCACCCTGTGCCAGCGCCTCAGCACCCTCACAGGGAAGAGCTTCTGCCTAAGAGCTCAGCTCAGTCTCCCCTCGGGCAGGTTCAAGCCATTCCCCTTGGCCTGTCCCTACAGGCCCTTGTCCCAAGCCCCTCTCCAGCTTTCCTGCAGCCCCTTTAGGCACTGGAGCTGCTCTAAGGTCTCCCCAGATGATGTTATTCTGGTAACAACTGCAGGCCACCATCTGAATATACTCACATATCACATATTTATCTAAAGCATTCTGTTCATATGGGGAAATGATGTGTCAAGCTTGTTTTCTCATTTTTTAATTTCACTTTTAATTAATTACACATTGTGATCCTCTGAAAGCCAGGGTTTCTGCTCTTCATTTCCAGAGCTCCCACAGCATCACTCTGCACTCGGTGCAGTCAGTTTGTCTGTGGTGTCCCTAACAGGCCAACAGCCATTCTCCCCAACAACTACAGAGAGCAGGGCTAAGCCATTGCATCAAGTGAGGTTCTCAAATGACAGCCTAGAACGTTCAACTACTTTTTAAACCTGTAATATTCTACCTAATTACAACACTACACAATTAACCATCCACTGGTTTAACCACACCTGAGGGCTCAGCCTGGTGTGGGAAGCTTTGAGCTACGATGTTTACAAGTTCTGAAGTCCTCTAACCTAGTAGCATGACAGGACTCATCACTAAGAGTTGTACACACTTACAGCACCAACTGGGCTATCCCCCTCTACTCCACCTTAAAATGAGTGTTTAGAAAGTAGATCTTGACAACAGGACATTGAAGCTTCTTTCTTATATATATAAGGAGGATGTATGACCTTAAGGTCCTTTCCAACCCTAACTATTCTATGATTCCATATGGGCTGGTCTCATTCTGGGTACTGACAGAGCACAAAGGGTCTTTCCTGTGAACATATAGAAAGTACAGCACAAGCCAAACCTGCAACTGAAGCTGTTGCGCTGGTGTGCCCCAACCTGGTGAAGAGGGAAGAGTTTGCTCACCACCACTTCATGTCTGCTGCATTACGAATCCCCAGACATCTATTTTCATACAGTCTATAGACAAGGTAACTTGAACCACGGGCTCGGGGAGGTGATGGAAGCTGCTCATTGCCAAGCCACCCTGTTCTGTGCAGCACAAACAATGAAGCCATCCAAAAGCTGCTCAAACGAGTTCCACAAGTGACATTCCTGGGCATCACAACTGCCTTCGCCTCCCAGGCATCGGTCACCAAGTCCTTGCTGTAAGGCATCTGCAGCAACCGGGCCTTTTAAGCCAATTTGTCTCCAGAATCAAGTTCTGTAAGAAGGCCACAAGCTTTTTCCATTCCATTGCCTGGGTCAAGTGTGGAGGTGGATCTACTTAAAATCACTTCCAAATTCTGCTTATGGCAGGCATGACTGAAATTCCTCTCGAAGGAAAATACCTCACAGTTTAACACACAGTTGCTTACTAACAGCTGCAGCGAGCAGCACTAAATCCAGCCCAAAGACCAAGGGCTTCAGTCTGTTATTAGCGTGTCGCAAGTGAAAGAGGCTGCCCATCCAGTGTCCTTAGGCTCCTGAGTGCCATGATTTCACTTTCGAGGCCTCTACTTATCCGTGAAAAGAGTTTCCAAGTCACTGTTAGACAGGTACACACACAGCAAGTTCCAGACAAAGCCTGACCCACAGTAGTCATTAAATACCAACGAATGAATGAGAAATAACTGCATAAACCCACATAATTTCTTCTGTTTAAACATAGAAAACCTATGCAGGAAGCTTTCAAACCAAGTCAGGAGACCTTGTGGTGGCCTTTCAGTAATTAAAAAGGGCCTGTAAGAAAGATGGGCAGAGTTTTTAGCAGGGCCTGCTGTGATAGGATGAGGGGTGATGGTTTTAAACTGAAAGGGGGGAGATTCAGGCTGGATGTGAGGAAGAAATTCTTCACAATGAAGGTGGTGAGGCACTGGCACAGCTTGCCCGGAGAGGTGGTGGATACCTCATCCCTGGAGACACTCAGTGCCAGGCTGGATGTGGTTCTGAGCAACCTGATCTAGTTGGAGATGCCCCTACGCATTGCAGGGGGTTGGACTGAAGGAGCTTTTAGCTCCCTTCCAAGCCAGTCTATTCTATGACTCTATGCGTAAAATACACTTAAAAGCGCAGTTTACACACGTAGACACAGCACTAAGTAGAGTCCCGCCGCTCAGTGCCAATCCCATGAGGGCTATGTGCTCTGCTGGGTGCATCTGCTGTTCTCCATTAAATAGAAACATAGAATAGTTGGGGCTGGAAAGCACCTTAAGATCACCAAGTTCCAACCCCCCTGCCATGGGCAGGGACACCGCACACTAAACCATGGCACCCAAGGCCTTGTCCAACCTGGCCTTGAACACTGCCAGGGATAGAGAATTCACAACTTCCCTGGGCAACCCATTCCAGTGCCTCACCACCCTCACAGGAAAGAATTTCTTCCTTATATCCAATCTAAACTTCCCCTGTTTCAGTTTTAACCCATTACCCCTTGTCCTATCACTACAGTCCCTAATGAAGAGTCCCTCCCCAGCATCCCTATAGGCCACCTTCAGATACTGGAAGGCTGCTATGAGGTCTCCACGCAGCCTTCTCTTCTCCAGGCTGAACAGTCTCAACTTTCTCAGCCTATCTTCATACAGGAGGTGCTCCGGTCCCCTGATCATCCTCGTGGCCCTTCTCTGGACTTGTTCCAACAGTTCCATGTCCTTTTTACATCAGTGAGATGCAAACCTTAACTCCTAATTCCATACTGAATTTTTTAACACTTTGACACTGGTGCTAGAGACAGAAGGCAGCTATGGGATTGGCATTTTCTCCCTCTCATGTTTTTCCAATCAGGAGAGCTGGATGTGGCTCCCTTTGAACAGTCAACAACAGCTCCAAGTTTACTCCAATAAGCATTTCAAGCCCTGCTATCTCCTAGTCCTAAACATATGGTTGCTTATAATGAGATAACAGTAAGATTTATAGATCCTGCTCTTACTCCAGAAATCTCTGGCACCAACAACGTCAAGCGAAGACTGAGAACTCTCATCACCTGACATTCTGTCTTCAAGAAACACTAAGTTGCTCACTGGGTACAGCAAGACCACGTTGGACAGGGCTTGGAGCAAGCTGCTCTAGTGGAAGGTGTCCCTGCCTGTGGCAGGGGTTGGAACTGGATGCGCTTTAAGGTCCCTTCCAACCCAAACCAGTCTGTGACTCTATGAAGACAAAACCCTCTAGATTTCATCATGGCTTTCTAATAGCTTGGATTAAAGAGTACATTTTCAGAGCCTCACTTTACACATGTGTAAGAAAAAATAGCGTGAGGTTTTGCTACTTCTGGTATGCTCTTACACTGCAATTCTTTGTAAGGGTAAGAGATCAAGCAGCATCTACACCAGTTCAAATTCATTCATTCAAACACATCATACCTCACAGAATTTCATCCACTTTATGAAGTAATTCCCACAGAATGTTCATTTTTACCTTCTCATCCTTTACTTTGCAGCTTATCTCATACATTCATTGAAATAAACTTCACGCATCAAAAATCCTGCAATAACCTGCTGGGGTAGCTCTACCCAATGTTGATATTCTGGAACTGTAGTGATAGGACAAGGGGCAATGGGTTCAAACTTAAACAGGGGAAGTTTAGATTGGATATAAGGAAGAAGTTCTTTCCTGTGAGGGTGGTGAGGCACTGGAATGGGTTGTCCAGGGAAGCTGTGAATGCTTCATCCCTGGCAGTGTTCAAGGCCAGGTTGGACAGAGCCTTGGGTGCCATGGTTTAGTGTGAGGTGTCCCTGCCCATGGCAGGGGGGTTAGAACTGGATGATCTTAAGGTCCTTTCCAACCCTAACTATTCTGTGATATTCATGATTATTTGGGCTCCTCTCAATAGGATTCAGCAGGAGTAGGGGGTGAGCAACTCTTACTCAGATTAGACATCAACATTACCAGTAAATTAAAACTATGTTGCTCAGGAAACAACTCCGAAATACTGCATAAGGTACCAGCAGAGGATTAAAATCAGACAAAACATTCCTTCCTCCCCACCCCGTGCTACTTCTTATGAGGTGATTTAAAATCCATTTAAATTATAACAGAATTTTAGGGAAAATATGAGATGCTGTGATAGAAATGGGAAGTCTGGCTTTATTTCCCAGTGAACTCAAGGAACGCATACTAACAAATGATGTCCCCACTAGGCAAGTCCATACAC